CTAATGGCGCCTGTTAGCTTAGGGGAATCCCGGCCCATGGTCTGGTGGGAGTTGTCAGGGGCTGGGCCCCCAGCCCCTTGGGAGGTTGGGTTAGGGACCCCAGCCCACGGCTCGGGCGCTCGGGAAGCCCAGTGGTGAGTGCCCATGGCCTGCCTGGCGTGGACCAAGAGACCTCCAGGCGCCCCTGAACCCCGGGGGTCCTTTCTCTGAGCTCCTTGTGGCTGCGTTTCCAGGCAGTCTGGGTATGGGGGAGTGGGGGACCCCTTTGGGTCTGAGTATAGGGGAACGGGGGACTCCCTTGGATTTGAGTCGGGGGATCAGGGGACCCCTTTGGGTCTGAGTATAGGGGAACGGGGGACCCCCTTGGGTCTGAGTGGGGGGAGCAGGGGACCCCTTGGGTCTGTATAGGGGAGTGGGGGACCCCCTTGGGTCTGAGTATAGGGGAGCAGGGGACCCCCTTGGGTCTGAGTATAGGGGAACGGGGGACCCCCTTGGATCTGAGTCGGGGGATCGGGGACCCCCTTGGGTCTGAGTGGGGGGAGCGGGGGACCCCTTTGGGGAGCCTGCCCTGAATCCCTTTCTCCCTCGGGAGGGGGCCGTTCTCTGGCACCCCCTGGGCGGAGTTTCTGAGTGTGGGCGGGCGGGGGCCAGTATACAGCGGGGGAGGGGTGCGAGAAGGGTCTCGGTGCAGGGGAAGAGGCCCCCAGGGAGCCCTCCCGGAGTCCCCCTTTCCAGGAGAGCTTTAGTTTGGGGGCCACACCCAGCGGCACTCAGGGCCGGCTCCAGACTCAGCCCTCGGGGATCAGCCCTAGGGGGGTTCGGGGTCCATGTAGGTGCTGAGGATCGAACCGGGGCTGACGGCGTGCAGGGCAGACCGTTCTGTTTCAGCAGATTTTTCTGGAAATCTCGGCCTCCTCCCGCTCTGTGGCTCAGGACCCGCGGGTGGCAGAGGGTGGGGTGATCGGGTCGACAGCAGGGTTAGGACACTCACCCGCCGAGGACCCCAGCTGCAGAGCGCGGGGCTGCCTGGGTCCCTGCTCTGTCCCCCACGTCCCCTGAGCGGGGGCGGCCCAGCTCTTCCCAGCGTGGCCCCTTCTCTCCCTCCCGCCCTCCCGGCTCTGTGAAATGACCTGCAGGGGGCCACATGTCCAGCCTTGGGTGTCCAGCAGGACACCAGATCGTGTGTCGGCTGGGCCCTGTGTGATGGGAGCGGTGAGCACGGAGCCCCCATCCTGACGGCCGCGGGATCTGGAAGCTGGGCTATGCGACGTGTCCCTGCCTTGCTCAGGAGGGTCAGCCCGCGACACCCCGATCTCGCCTCCACACGGGCATCACTGGTCACCCACACGGGTGTCACTGGGCATCTGTCACCTGCATGGGCATTTGTATCTGTCACCTGCACAGGTGTCACACGACATCTGTCACCCACATGGGTGTCACTCAGCATCTGTCACCTACATGACGGTCACTCGGCACCTGTCACCCACACAGGTGTCACTGGGCATCTGTCACCCGTAAGGGCATAACTTGGTATCTGTCACCCGCACGGGTGTCACTCGACATCTGCAACGCACACGAGTGTCACTTGGTGTCTGTCACCCGCATGGGTGTCACTCAGCATCTGTCACCTCCATGGGGCGTCACCCGGCATCTGTCACCTACACGGGTGTCACTCAGCGTCTGTAACCTGTGTGGGCATCACTGGGCATCTGTTGCCCTTGCGGGCGTCACTTGGCATCTGTCACCCACATGGTTGTCACTCCGCATATGTCTCTCTCCTGCACGGGTGTCACCGGGTACCTGTCGCCCACAGGTCGTCGACGCGTCCACCCTGAGCTGGGGCACCCGGATCAAAGGCTTCGCCGCCTGCTTCGTGGCGGGCATCCTGTGCTCCCTGCTGGTGAGTCGCCCGATCTCTGCCCTCACTTGGCTCTCGGGGGCTGTGGGTGGGGGGGCTTCCCAGGTGCGGACCCCCGTGCTTGCCTTGCAGGGGACGCTGCTACTGTGGCTGCCCCGGAAGGGACTCACGCTCTTCGCCGTCTTCTACACCTTCGGGAACATGGCTTCCATCGGCAGGTGAGCGTCGCCGCCCAGAGCCCCCAGATCCATCCCGGCCCCGCAGGAGCACTGCCCGAACCCAGAGCTGGGCGTGAGCCCCGAGGCTTGTGGGGTGACGCCCGAAAGCAAAACGCGTCTGGGGGTGAGGCCTAGGAGTGAGCCGAGGGCATCGCGTCTGTCCTGGTGACAGTCACATCAGCCGCCGAGAGGGCCTGGCCAGGGCCAGCGGCCTGTGGTGGGTCTCCTGCGTGTGGCAGGAGAGGGGGTGCGTCTCCACTTCCACTCAGCTCACGTGGCCAGCGGCCCACCCGGGCTGTCCAGCAAACCCTCCAGCTTCCGGTAATGCCCTCGCATCGCGGGGGGCCAGTTAAATCAGACCCTCCCCCAGGGCCAAAGAGAGAGTCCGGGGGTCCAGGCACTCAGCCTGCAGGCTCGAACCCTCACACCACACGGGGTCCCCAGGGCACCCCCGGAAGTGACCCTCTAAAAGCAGAAACGGCCTCACCCCCCAAAAAAGGCGATCGGGTGCAGGCACCTTGCAGGGCAGAGCGCTTTTTTAATTTTAATTTGTTTGGCTTTTTTGGGCCACGCCCGGCGATGCTCAGGGCTGACTCCTGGCTCTGCACTCAGGAATCACTCCTGGCGGTGCTCGGGGTCCCAGTGGGATACCGGGGATCGAACCCGGGTCGGCTGTGTGCCAGGCCAGCGCCCTCCCTGCCGGGAGCACTTCCCGGCGAGGGGGCCCTGGGTGCGGGTGTGGGGGGCTGGGCCTGCTGCCACCGGCTCCTGCCTCCGTAGCACCGTGTTCCTCATGGGGCCCATGAAACAGCTGAAGCGGATGTTCGAGCCCACACGCCTGGTCGCCACCATCCTGGTCCTGGTAAGCGCCTGTCCCCGGACCCCCTTCCCTCATCCCAGAGTGGGCCACCGGGGCCTCCCCTCCACCCACCCACGTCCCCACTGGCCAGTTCCCTTCCAGCAGGATCCAGATCCTTCTGCCGCCCTCCTGAGTTCTGGGGGGGCATCTGGGCTTGGATTGGGGGGTGCCCTTCATGGGGTCGTGGCGTCTGCCTGGGCACTGACCCGCCGGCCTCTGTTCTCTCCACAGCTGTGCTTTGCGCTCACGCTGTGCTCGGCCTTCTGGGTAAGTCGGGGTGCTGGGGGATACACCTCCCCGGGTTGGAGGACCCCCGCCCGGCCCCTGAGTGACCCCGGGCTCTCTCCGCAGTGGCACAACAAGGGGCTGGCGCTCATCTTCTGCATCCTGCAATCCCTGGCGCTGACATGGTAAGCTCTCTGCTCCTGCCCCAGAACCTTCTAGAAGCCGCTCCCAGAATCTTCTAGAAACTATTCCCAGAACCTTCTAGAATCTGTTCCCAGAACCTTCTAGAAGCCGTTCCCAGAACCTTCTAGAAGCTGCTTCCAGAACCTTCTAGAAGCCACTCTCAGACCCGTCTAGAAGCTGCCCCCAGAACCTTCTAGAAGCCGCTCCGAGAACCCTCTAGAAGCCACTCCCAGAACCTTCTAGAAGCTGCTCCCATGGGGCCTCCGGCAGCCAGCCCATCCCCTGCATTCCTCTGGGCTCGGGGGTGGGGCCCCCAAGATCTCAGACTGGCTGAGGTCGCCCCCCCACGGACTGACCAGCCTGTAGGGACTCCTGGGCAAAGTTGTTTTCTCACGGGCGTTTTTTTGTTTCTTTTAAAATAATGAGGCCCGGTGGAGCCTGAGCGATAGCCCAGCAGGGAGGGCGCTTGCCGTGCATGAGGCCAACCAGGTTCGAGCCCCGGCACCCCCGGTGGTCCCTGGAGCCCACCAGAGAGTCCCGCGAGCAGAGCCAGGAGTGAGCCCCGGGCATCGGCGGGTGTGGCCCAAACCCAGAATCAGCCAAACGCGCAGGCGCAGGGCAGGCTCTTGGGGGGACGCGCATCCGGGGGGCTCGTGTCCCGGGCCTGTTGCCCCTTTCCTTCCTTCGGGAGCCCACGTGCCCCTGCCCGCCTTGGTTACGTGATGCCTGTGTTGGTACATTCTTGGCATGTGCGTGTGCACGCGTGTGTGCGTGACACGTGTGTGGGTGTGAGCGTGTGCTTTACGCTCTGTGTTTTACGCCATTTCACCTGTGTTTTACGCTCTTCACCTGGGCACCACACATATGTGCGCTCCAGGGGGGCACACGCGTGTGTGGCTTGCGTGTTTGGATGTGTGTGTGTGTGCATGTTGTCGATGGGGGGGTGTATGTTGTGTGTTCATGTATGAGCCCATGTGTGCGTGTGCATGTGTGGTGCGTGGGTATGTACTGGTGCATATGTCTGATCGTGTGTTTGTATGTGAGCATGTGTGTATGTATGTGTGTATGTGTGAGCGTGTGTGTGAGCATGTGTGTATGTATGTGTATGTGTGTATGTGTGAGTGTGTGTGAGCATTGTGTGAGCGTGTATGTGAGTGTGTGTGCGAGCACGTCTATGTGAGTATGTATGTGTATGTGTCTGAGCATGTGTGTGTATGTGTGTGTGAGCATGTGTGAGCATGTGTGTATGTGTATAAGTGAGTGTGTATATGAGCATGTGTGAGCGTGTGTGTATCTGAGCGTGTGTGTGAGCGTGTATGTATGTGTGTGCGTGAGCAAGTGTGTGTGAGCGTGTGTGTATGTGTGAGCATGTGTGCGTGAGCATGAGTGTGAACATGTCTGTGAGCATGTATGTATGTGTCTGAGCATGTGTGTGTGAGCGTGTGTGTATGAGTGAGCGTGTGTGTATGTATATGTGTGTATGAGTGTGTGAGCGTGTGTGTATGTATGTGAGCATGTGTGTGTGAGCATGTGTGTATGTGTATAAGTGAGTGTGTGTATGCATGTGAGTGTGTGTGAGTGTGTGTCTATTGTGTGAGCATGTGTGTATGTGTGTGTGAGCATGTGTGTATGTGTATAAATGAGTGTGTGTATGAGCGTGTGTGTGAGCGTGTGAGTATCTGAGCGTGTGTATGAGCGTGTATGTATATGTGTGCGTGAGCAAGTGTGTGTGTGAGCGTGTGTGTATGTATATGATATGTGTATGTGTGAGCATATGTGTGTGCGCATGAGTGTGTGAACATGTATGTGTATGTGAGCATGTGTGTGAGCGTGTGTGTATGTATATGTGAGTGTGTGTCTGTTGTGTGTGAGCATGTGTGTGTGAGCGTGTATGTATGTGTGTGAGCATGTGTGTATGTGTATGATGTGTGTGAGCGTGTGTGTGAACATGTATGTGTGAGTGTTTCTGTGAGCGTGTCTATATATGTGGGTGTGTGTGTGAGCGTGTGTGAACATTGTGTGCGTGTATCTGTGAGCGTGTCTGTGTATATGTGGGTGTGTGTGTGTGAGCGTGTCTGTGTATATGTGTGAGTGTGTGTGAGCGTGTGTGTGTGTGTGTGTGTGTGTGTGTGTGTGTGTGTGCGCGCGCATGCTCGGCTCTGTGTACACCAGAGCGTGCCCCTTCCGGTGGCGGGGGTCTGGGGGGTCCCCGCTCCCTCTGACTCGCTCTTTTTTGCCCCAGGTACAGCCTCTCCTTCATCCCCTACGCCAGGTAAGCCGAGAGAGGGGTGGGGGGACCCCTCTGGGGCTTCTAGAGAACGCGGGGGCCACGGTGCTGATGGGCTCCCCGGGGACTCCGCCACCCCTTCCCCCGTGCCCACCCGACCCCCGGGTCCGGGAGGGGGGAACCTCTATGATCTGCATCTGGTTTGGGGGCCCCTCCCAGCGGTTCCAAGACTCACTCCTGACTCTGCACTTGGGGGGGTCACTCCTGGCATCTCGGGGGACCCTAAGGGGGTCCCGGGCATCCATCTGACTCGTCCGCGTGCAAGGCCAGCGCCCTCCCGCCGTCCACCTCTCCGCCCCTTCCGGTCCCTTCTGCCCTCAACGGAGCAGGGTTTGGGGTCTGTGTTGGCTCTTTCCTGCCACCGGGGGACGTCCCAGGACTTTACCCAGGATGGTCCTAAGCTCCAGTTCCCTCGGGGAACTCGCCGGACCCCAAAGGCCTCAGGGACGCGGCAGGTTGGACCAGACCCCGCTGCCTCCCCTCCCCGGGACTGTCCGTCCACATCCCTAAGGCCACATCCACTCCGCAATCTCAGCATCTGGTGCTGACAATCTCACCCCTTAATTCCTTTTCCTGGGCTGTGTGGGGGTGGGGGGCGCTCATGTTAATTGCAGGTCCCTGCCCCACCATCCCCCCAGGGTTCCGGGGGCCCTGAGGAGCAGGGAACCAGCTGGGCCGGTCTGAGTGGCTGAGCTGGGGTGAGGTGTGGCTGCCAGCAGGGCGGGGTTGCCTGGTGTGTCATCCCTGCTATCGAGGCGAGCACTTAAGAGTGGGTCCACATGGCTGGACCGGGCCGGCTGTAGCGCTAGATCAAAATCTGGATCCTGGGCTAGAGCGACACCACAGCAGGGAGGGCGTTGGCCTTGCACGCAGCCGACCCGGGTTCGATCCCTGGCATCCCATAGGGTCCCCCGAGCACCACCAGGAGTGATTCCTGAGTGCGGAGCCGGGAGTCAGCCCTGAGCATCGCCGGGTGGGACCCAAAAAAGCCAAAAAAAAAAAAACCCAAAAAACAAAAAAACACGGGTCCTGGGGAGGGCTCTGGCCTTGCACGCAGCCAACCCCGCCTCAATCCTTGAGCCCGCCAGGAGTGATCCCTGAATGCAGAGCCCCGAGTCAGGCCTGAACATTGCGGGATGCAGGCCACCCCCTCTAAAAAAAAAAGTGCCCTTGATTTGAAAAAAAGAGTAAGAGGTCCTACAGCAGGGAAGGCGTTTTTTTTGTTGTTGTTTTTCTTTTTGGGCCACCCCTGGCAATGCTCAGGACTGACTCCTGGCTCTGCACTCAGGAATCACTCTTGGCGGTGCTCTTGGGGGACCCTATGGGATGCTGGGGATCGAACCCGGGTCGGCCGCATGCCAGGCAAACACCCTTCCCACTGTGCTATCACTCCAGCCCGAACATCTTAACTTGCGTGCTATTTCTCCAACCTAAAACCAACCTTCCTTCCTTCCTTCCTTCCTTCCTTCCTTGTTTTTGGGGGTCCCACCTGGCGATGCTCAGTGGTTCCTCCTGGCTCTGCACTCAGGGATCACTCCTGGCGGTGCTTGGGGACCCTATGGGATGCTGGGGATCGAACCTGGGTCAGCCACGTGCAAGGCAAACACCCGACCCGCTGTGCTATCGCTCCAGCCCCTCCCTCCCCCCGTTACTGTTTGAGCCCCAGGATCAGCCCACCGGGAGCAATCCTGTGCAGAGCCCGGATGAAGCCCCCAACCCAAACCAGCCTCCCCGGGAGGGTCGCTGGAAGGCCCATCCGGCACTGACCTCTGAATTCTGGGGACCCCACGCTAGGGTGCAGCCGGCCTCACCCGAAGCCATGCCCTTGGGCCCACCCTGGCAGGAGAGAACTGCCCTCCCTGGGACCGCGGTGGACGGGGAGGGCTCGGGGCCCAGTGCTCGCCACGTCTTGATTCTCGTGGGGGTCCCGTCTCTGCTTCTCCCAGAGGCGACCAGGGATATGATGTCGGCCCTGCCGCCCCCAAGCCCCCCATGAAGGGGTGGGGGGAAGAATCTGAACTTCCAACCATTAGTCACCAGTGCCCGGTACCCGCCCCCAAGTGTTCCTGACCCTTGCCCCGCCCTGCAGGTGCCTGGGGTGGGGGAGGGGCGCGCGTCTGGCTGACCTCTGCCCCTGTCCTTCCCAGGGACGCCGTGAAGAAGTGCTTCGCCGCGTGCCTCGAGTGACCGTGGCCAGTCGTGCGGCGGCCTCTTGTAAACACCCAGCTCTTCGGACACTGCCTTTTTCGCCCACGCCACGCGCCGGGGGTGGTGGGGGGCAGGTTTGCTTTCGGAGGTGCCCATGGGGGTCGCGGCCCTGGTGTGTGCCGGCCAGTAGCGAGGGAAGTGCCTTGTATCTTGGGGTGGGGGGTTGGGTGGGGGAGGCCCGTTCTCCATCCGTCTCCCCTCCCCAGTTAAAACCCTCCTGAGGCCGCTGCGGTGACGCCTTGGAGGTTAGGGAGTCCTGGCAGGCTGCCTGGAGGTGGCGGGCGCATAGCGGAAGGGCCAGAAGCAGTTAAGGAGACTCTCTGGGGGTGACGATTCTCCCTCCCACCTGCTAGTTTGGGGCCACCCCTGGGTGCTGCAGGCTCAGCGGTCCTTCCTAGCCCACTCTCGGTGGCCGCCGCTTAAATCTGAACCTCAGCCCTGCCCTGAAGGTCAGAGGTCGCTCTTTCCTCCCCGGCTCCCTCCCTCCCTCCCTCCCCTGCTGGGCCGGGTGTGGACGGTCCAGCCCCAACACCTCCCACTTCCCTCTGGCCAGCTGCCCGGCCTCTCGGGCAGCCCTGCCCGGTGGCGTGTTTTTTCCTTTTCTTTTCATTATTTATAAATATTTGTTTCTCCGCCAGCTCTATTTTCCGCTGCCCTGGCAGGGGTGGGGAGGGGAGAGGCGGCAAGGGGCGAGGCCAGAGCTCTGAGCCCTGGGTGCCTCCGCCATCTGATTGTGACCTTGGCCCCTCCCACCCCCCCACTGAGGGGGGCTGTACCTGGTCTCACCAGTAGGGGGCGCTGCCTTCCCACACTCAGAAGCAGCTTCACTTTCTTACTTTTTTTTTCCCCCCTTTTAAGTTTTTGCTTTGGGGCCACACCCAGCCATGCTCAGGACTGACTCCTGGCTCTGCACTCAGGAATCACTCCTGGCGGTGCTCGGGGGACCCTAGGGGATGCCGGGGATCGAACCTGGGTCGGCCGTGTGCAACGTAAATGCCCTACCCGCTCTGCTATCATTCTGGCCCCAGAAATTCATTTTTAATTCACTTTTTTTTTCTTTTTGGGTCCCACCCGGCGATGCACAGGGGTGACTCCTGGCTCTGCACTCAGGAATTACCCTTGGTGGTGCTCAGGGGACCAATATGGGTTGCTGGGAATCGAACCCGGGTCGGCCACCTGCAAGGCCAATCCACTGTGCTATTGCTCCAGCCCCTTTAATTCACTTTTTAAATTTCATTTTGCTTTTTGGGTCACACCCGGCATTGCTCAGGGGTTCCTCCTGGCTCTGCACTCAGGACTCACTCCTGGCGGTGCTCGGGGGACCCTATGGGATGCTGGGGATCGAACCCGGGTCGGCCGCGTGCCAGGCCAACGCCCTCCCCGCTGTGCTCCAGCCCCTCTCTTGCCTTTTTTTTTTTCTCTTCAAAATAACCTCATGGATCGACTTGTCACTTTGGACGAGGAGAGTTCAAACAAAAAAGTCTCCTCCCACTGCTGAATTTCTCCTTCTGTAAATTCTGGTTGTGACCCTGGGGATGAGGATGACAAAAATGCTGGGTTTGGGGACAGGGGGGCGGGGAGGGGGGGTCTGTGCCCAGAGAAATAGGTACAGGTTCGAATGGAAACGCACTTTGTGAAAACCCAGGGCGGTTTGTGTGCAGACTCTGGACTAGCAGAGTGTTGCTGAGTGCAAAAGTGATTTTTTTGGGTACCCAAAAATATATTTTTCCTGCCTTGGAATACCTCTTTCATACAACAAATACTGCCACCTTTTTACTGACTCAGAGAAAAGTAATTTTGCTGTTAATCATGCCGTTTTTACCCCCTTCCCCTGAAATATCACAAATCATGTTATTCCTCCCATTCTCTTTTGAATAAAAGCATCGTGATCTTTCATATATCCCGCGTCTTGATTCTTTTTTTCCCCACAGTCACTAAATCACACACAGATTGGATAACGACCAGAAAACACTGTGCTTTGGGTGTGAATTCTTTTTTTTTTTCTTTTTTTGGTCACACCTGGCGATGCTCAGGGGTTCCTCCTGGCTCTGCAGTCAGGGATCACTCCAGGCGGTGCTCGGGGGACCCTATGGGATGCTGGGAATCGAACCCGGGTCGGCCACGTGCAAGACAAACGCCTTCCCAGCTGTGCTATTGTTCCAGAATATTCACAATAGTGTGAATTCTTAGCGATTGGTAGAAATAGACAAAATCAGGGCCATCCAGGGATTGTGGTCCGCCCCTTGCTTAAGGCTCATCTCAACTTGACCCCTCAGAAGAGATAAGGTCCGAGCACCATCAGGGGTGATCCCTGAGCACGGAATCAGGAGTCAGTCCTGAGCACTGCCAGGTGTGGCTTTTGCCATACCCCGAGCCCTGCTCCAGGATTCTTGACCTTTTTCCGTTGTGGGGAAGTCTTATTTCTTTTCCTTTTTCCTTTTTTTCCCCCAGGTTTTTGGGTCACACCTGGCGATGCTCAGGGCTCACTCCTGATTCCGTGCTCAGGAATCACTCTGGGCGCACTCAGGGGACCCTGTGGGATGCTGGGGATCAAACCTGGGTCGGCCGTGTGCAAGGCAAACGCTCTCCCCACTGTGCTGTCACCCCAGCCCCCCGTGGAAGTCTTGTTTCTAACTCACTGTTAGAGACTTAGCTGGGAATTGAACTCCACATTCTTCTTTTTCTTCTTGGGTCACACCCAGCAATGCTCAGGTGTTTCTCCTGGCTCATGCACTCAGGAATTACTCCTGGCGGTGCTCAGGGGAGCATACGGGATGCTGGGAATCGAACCCGGGTCTGCCGCGTGCAAGGCAAACGCCCTCCCCGCTGTGCTATCGCTCCAGCCCCTGAACCCCACATTCTGGCAGACACAAACATGGGTATTAGAGGCAGGGTGTGTGTGTGTGTGTGTGTGTGTGTGTGTGTGTGTGTGTGTGTGAAAATTTCCAGTGAAAACTCCCATTCCCAGGGGCCAGAGCGATAGCACAGCATTTGCCTTGCACACAGCCGACCCGGGTTCGATTCCCAGCATCCCTTAGGGTGCCCCGAGCACCTCCAGGAGTGATTCCTGAGTGCAGAGCCGGGAGTCAGCCCTGAGCATCACCGGGTGGGACCCAAAAGGCAAACAAACAACGAGCCCTCCTATTCCCTGCCCCCCACCCCCACCCAGGGTTTTGTTGCTGGAACCTTCCGCACACAGAAAGGGGTGAGCCCGCTTTTGTGACCTGGGGGGCTGAGGGGGGCCTTGCGGCGTTTCCTCTGACCTTGTTTTGGAACCGACCCCAGCCTCTAATGAAAGACTAATCCTCCCGAAATCGTGCCCAAGCCCGTAATCCCCAGGGCCCGCGGCAGGTGATTAGGTGGCCAGTCCACAGCAGCTGTCCCCTTTGTTTTCGCTCATGCTGCCCCCCTGCTCGGGCCACCCCCGTTTCCTGCGTCCCTGGAGGTGTCAGGTGTTGGCAGGACGAGGTGTGCAGACGGGTCCAGCCGCGCGTCCGGGCACCTTGTGATCTCGCCCCCCCCCCGTCCTCCCCCGTCCCCCCCAGCCCTGTGACGTCCAGTCTCTGTCCTCTGGGTCTGGCAGGGGCCACCGTGTGCCAGGGACACAGCAGGACTATCAGGTGTCGCCGAAACTCACACCTCGACGGCCACCCGCCTCCCCCCTGCCCTGTGCGCAGCCCTGCAGCTGGGGCTCAGACACAGACCGTGGCCGGCCTGTCCCTCTTGACGTGGCAGCAGGACGGGCCGGGGGTCGCCGGAGCATCTCTGGACCCTGAACTTCTCCACCGCCCCCTTCTCCCTTTTGGGGGGGCAGGTTGGGGCCACACCCTGCGGTGCCCAGGGATGCTCAGAGGCCCTTCTCCAGAGATCAGAGCTTCAGTCGTGGTTACTGTTTGGGGCCCTCCCCGGTGATGCTCGGGGATGACTCCTAGCTCAGTGCTCATGGATGACTCGACTCAGTGCTCGGGAATGATTCATGGGCATTGCTCAGGGATGACTCCTGGCTCAGCGCTCAGGGATGATTCCCGACTCAGTGCTAAGGAAAATGATTCCTGGACCATGCTTGGGGGTGACTCCTAGCTCAGTGCTCAGGGATGACTCCCGATCCAGTGCTCAGGAATGATTCATAGACAGTGCTCAGGGATGACTCCTGACTCAGTGCTCAGGAATGATTAATGGACAGTGCTCAGGGCTGACTCCTGGCTCAGCGATCAGGGATGACTGCCAACTCAGTGCTCAGGAATGATTCCTGGACCATGCTCAGGGATGACTCCTAGCTCAGTGCTCAGTTATGACTCCTGGATCAGTGCTCGGGATCATCTGGAGTGCCAGGGATCAAACCCAGGTTGGCTGCGTGCAAGGCCAGCACCCTCCCTGTTGTTCTCTCTGGCCCCTTGCTTCTGCCCACATTTGGATTGGGTTTGGTTTTCTGTTTGCGGTAGTGCTCAGGGATCACTCTTGGCAGGGCTCTGAGATTCTCTAGTGCCAGGGAAGAACCCAGATTGGCCGCGTGCCAGGGAGGTGCGCTACCCACTGTGCTATATCTCTGGCCCCTGGCTTGTTTTTTTCCCATCGTGTTCACTTTTGTCTTTTGCTTTTTGGATCACACCCGGCGATGCTCAGGGGTTCCTCCTGGCTCTGCACTCAGGAATTACTCCTTGGCGGTGCTCGGGGGACCCTAGGGGATGCTGGGAATCGAACCCGGGTCTGCCGCGTGCAAGGCAAATGCCCTCCCCACTGTGCTATCGCTCCAGCCCCTTCGTGTTTTCACATGCCACCCAAGGTGACATCACCCAACATTTGTGTGTGAGTGTGTGTGGGGGGGTCCCCCACTTGCCCCCGCCCCTGCCTTCCACTTCACATGACTGCTAGTTCCGTTCCACTAGCAAAAGGCAAAGCTGGTCTTGTCTCGTGCAGGGAGCTGTCCCAGGCCGTCCCAGAGCAAAGCCCGAGAAAGTCACCTGCATCACCGGGCCCCTGGCTCATTTTTCTGAGGTCTCAGCTGCTGTTCGTGGGTTTTGATTATTCTTCAAAAATTTTGTTTTGAGACCAGAGCGACAGCACAGCGGGGAGGGCATCTGCCTTGCACGTGGCCGACCCGGGTTCGATTCCCAGCATCCCACAGGGTCCCCCGAGCACCGCCAGGCGTGATTCCTGAGCACAGAGCCAGGAGTCAGCCCTGAGCATCGCCGGGTGGGACCCAAAACAAAACAAAAACGAAGTGGATAAATCTTATATGCAGAATTCCCTCATTAAGGAAAATTACCAGAAATGACCTATTATGGTCTATTGAAACAGACCCCAGGGGGTCGGAGTGATAGCACAGCGGGGAAGGTGTTTGCCTGGCATGCGGCTGACCCGGGTTCAGTCTCCGGCATCCCACAGGGTCCCCCGAGCACCGCCAGGAGTGATTCCTGAGTGCAGAGCCCGGAGTCAGCCCTGAGCATCGCCACGTGTGGCCCCCAAATAAAAAATAAATAAAAAGTTAAAAGTTTTGTGTTTTGAAATTCTCTCTCCCCCCCCCCTCTCTCTTTATGGTTTTGGGTCACACCCGGTGGTGCTCAGGGCTGACTCCTGCCTCTGTGCTCACGGATGACTTCCGACAGTGCTCTGTGCCGGGCTTGGCTGCGTCTCACCCTCTGTGGCCTGACCTTGCCAAATTGGATTTTTAAAAACACAAAACAAGTCACTGCAATTTGCCCTGGCTCAAAACTCGCTCTGCCGTTGGATCAAGTCTCCTTTAAATCCGGAGGCTTTGGGGGGCTGGGGTCCCCACGCCCTCTGCTCCCCCAGCTCTGCTGGGTTTCCGCATAACCCCTCACGTGGGAATACAGAGCCCTCCCATCCTGCTCCGTATCCCCACCTCTGCACCCCTCACCCTGGACCGTCCTCCTGAAGGGGTGCTGACCGCCTCTTCCGTTTGCCAAGACCATCATCTTTTGCTGGCAGGCAGCACTGCTCAGGAGTGGACCAGCCATCTCTCCTCGCACGTCTAAGCTCCCCTCTGACCCTGGAGCAGGAGAGAACAGTCAACCCTGGCCCTTCCCGTCTGCCTGTTCTGCTTCCTGGGTCCCTGGCCGTAGGGTCCTGGGTGTTGAACCCAACGCCCTTCCCTTGGGGCCCCTGGTGGCTGATGCTCTAAGCAGGGCTCTGGGCCCCCGGTGGTCGTGTGGCCCTGGGCTTGGGCCAGCTGTCCTAAGTCATCAGACCCCCGTTCCCTGGGATGGGAGGTGGGTGGGGGGTGTACGGGGTGGCCGCGAGCCGCGTGCTTCAGACACAAACATGATTTTCCTGATTGTTGAAGTCTGGTCCCCGGAACCATTTTAATTAACGGGAAAATGGCCCTCAATCCGCCGATTACAGCTCTTCAGGTACAAGAAGATAAAAGCCTGATAATTTGGGTGGAGAACCCTCCTTCCCCGCAGCCAATGACAGCCGCGGGCCGCCTCCCACCTGATCCGGGGCCTAATTAAACGCGAGGGGGGGGCCCCCCTCGCCCGCCCCGCCGGGGCTTAACAGGTTGCTGGGATAATTTGGAGACTTCAAGAGTGATGCCAAGAGTTGAAGCAAAAGCCTCCGTCTCTCTGCCCCCGGCTCCCAGTCTCGGGCCAGCAAGGCGGGCAGCGGGCACCAGGGACCACGTCCCAGCCGGCCCGGACCATGAGTGAGGCGGGCGCCCCCAAGGCCACCGAGGGGACGGTGTCCCGGCTGCTGCACGTGGTGGAGAACGAGCTCCGGGCCGGCCGGGACAAAGGCGACCCCACGGAGAAGGGGCTTCGCATCGTCCTGGAGGACGCCATGCTCTGGAAGCGCTTCAAGGAGGCCACCAACGAGATGATCGTCACCAAGAACGGCAGGTGGGTCTGCGGGCGGGTGGCGGGCCGGGACCGGCCGGGACGGGCTGGGACGCGGAGGCTGCGAGTTCGGTGCCTTTCAGGGTCTCTGAGACTGACCCGTCTCGGCCGTGTTTCCGAGGGCCCCAGAAGAGTGTGGGGTCTCCCATCCCATGTGCAGTTTTAAATGCAGAAGTGCCGGGAAGTGGTTCTGATCCGAGGTGGAGGACGACGGTCCCTTCGTCCAAAGATTGGGGGGACTCTCGGACAGCTCCCCTCACTGACGAGCCGGCAGCTCTGGGGAAGGGCGGGTTGCCATGAGTCTCCCCAACTTTGCCAGGAATTTCGGATGAGCCGGAGGCCGGCAGCAGATTTGCGGTTACAGTGAGTGCGACTGTGTGTGTGTGTGTGCGCGCATGAGTGTGTGTACATGTGTGTGTGCATGTGTGAGTGTGTGCGTGCATGCCCGTGTGTGTGGGTGCATGTGTGCACCTGCGTGTATATGTGTGCGTACATGTGTGTGTGCATGTGTGTGCATATGTGCGTGCGCATGTGTATATGTGTTTGTGTGTGCGTGTGTGCATCTGCATGTGTGTGCATGCATGTATGTGTGTGCATGTGTGTTTGTGTGTGCGCATATGTGCGTGTGCATGTGTGTGCGCACGTGTGCATCTGTGTGTGCACATGCATGTGTGGGTGCGTGTGTGTGCCTGCGTGTGTAAGTGTGCATGTGTGTACGCATGTGTGTGGTGCGTGTGTGCATATGTGTGTGCATATGTGTGCGTGTGCATGTGTGTGCTTGTGTGTGCATATGTGTATATGTGTGCTTGTGTGTGCGCATGTGTGCATGTATGTGTGTGCCTGTATGTTTGTGTGTGCATGTGTGTGCACATGTGCATGTGTGTGTGCGTGTGTGTGCGCGCGCTCACACAAACCTTCGTGGGTGTACACCGGTTCAAGACATTTCAGTGAACTGCAGAGAGAAAAGGAGATAGACTTTCTTCCGGCAAATTCCGGCTCACCGAGTCCGATCCTGTTGGTCGATTCTTGGATCCTGGTCAACCCTGGCCGCTAAGGGGCTCTCACGGACATTGAAGAAGCTCCTGTCGTGTAGGGGAACCACGGATTCTGGAGGCCGATGTGGCCGTGCCCCCGACAGGATGGCCAACTGGTCCCACTGCCCCACCGAGGTCAGAGAGCAGGGCTGCTCGTGAGAGCCCTGACTCCAGGAGAAGTGCTCTGCCCGCACAGGGGGACCAGAGAGTGTCCTAGCAGGCTGTGTCCTGCGAAAGAAGTGCCCGTGTGGGGTTGGGGGTGGCCAGGCCACTTTCCCCTCGTGGCGTGAAATGTAGGGGAGCCCTGGGACTTTTGTGATTTGGGGCCAGTGATGTCCTGCGGCTCTTTGAGGTTTAAGAGAACCGAGAATCACCCTGTGATCCTTGAAGATTATACACCAGCTTATTCCCCTGGGGAATAAATGCGGGGAGGGCGTTTGCCTTGCACGCGGTCGACCCGGGTTCGATCCCCGGCATCCCACAGGGTCCCCCGAGCACCGCCAGGAGGGATTCCTGAGTGCAGAGCCAGGAGGAACCCCTGAGCATTGCTGGGTGTGACCCAAAGAGCAAATTAATAATAATAATAATAATAATAATAATAGGACGGCAGGCAGGGCACTTGTCGCACATGCAGCTGACCTGGGTTCAATCCTCAGCACCCCAAATGGTCCCCCCAAGCCCTCCCAGGAGTGAGCCCGGAGTGCAGAGCCAGGAGTCAGCCCTGAGCACCACCAGGTGTGACCCGAAAATTAAAGCGAACAAATCAACAAACGAAACAAACTGTGCCCTGGGTCTAAGCAGATAGTACAGGGTTAACCCCTGAGCACTGCTGGGGAAGCACCCAACAGCCCCGCCAGCTTACGCTAATGTGACTTAAAAATGATTTATTCCCAGATTGCTTTCGGTGCAACAGTATTTAGGTGCACAGAATACTCGCAGATGTTTAACACATGGCGATGGGACCCAAAATAAATGCGTTTTGAGGATCACAGTTTGTTCTGCAAGAATATTCGCCGGGGGTCGGTTGGTGCTCCCTCTCCGTCTTCCTCCTCATTCTGAAGGGAGAGTTATTACTTTTCATATCTGTTGTGTGTGTGTGTGCGTGTGCGTGTGTGTGTGTGAGACTCAATTTTTAGCCTCTTTAGAGAGAATTTTAGCCTCTTTAGAAAGAATTAGAAAATCAGTTTTTATTTCCATCAATTGATGTTTCAGTTTCAGTCACCCCTTATTCTTTAATAAGGGGTTGCTTCCTGCCTTATTTTTTTGCATAGTAAGTCCTCAGCCCAGGTAATTCTCTGGCCAGCCCTTGTTTTTATTTTTTATTAAAGTTTGTTGTCAGAGTTCAAGGACCTTTCTATATCACTGTATGATGCAACAATCCTAAGATACGTTGTGATTTTTATTTATTTATTTATTTATTTTTGGGTCACACCCGGCGATGCTCAGGGCTGACTCCTGGCTCTGCACTCAGGAATTACTCCTGGCGGTGCTCGGGGGACCCTATGGGAAGCCGGGGATCGAACTCAGGTTGGTCCCATGCAAGGCAAACACCCTCTCTCCTGTGCTGTTGCTCCGGCCCCCTAAGATACTTTTTTTTTTTTTGCTTTTTGGGTCCCACCTGGAGATGCTCAGGGCTGACTCCTGGCTCTGCACTCAGGGATCAGTCCTGGCGGGGCTCGTGGGACCCTATGGGATGCTGGGATCAAACCCGGGTCGGCTGTGTGCAAGGCAAACGCCCTACCCGCTGTGCTATCGCTCCAGCCCCTAAGATACTTTTTAATATATATACATATATATATAATATCTCCCCATTTCTAGCTAGATTTTTTTCCCTTTGCTTTCAAAAAAATCATAAACATTTTATTTCTGAATAACAGGTCAGAATTTCATGCATTATTCTTTGCATTTATTGGCTGAGAGTAATAATCTCCTGTATATCTATGTGTCCAAGTGACTATATAGGAAAGCAAAGTGAGTACGATCACCCGGTAAAGACATAACTACATTTCAAGAATTAAATAACGTAAGTTTCTGAAGCCATCATAAAACCCAATTTAATAATCGTTTTTCTTGGCATCTATTTTTAGCATTCCTTTTTTTGGGAGGTGGGGGAACACCCCGTGATGCTCAGGGCCGACTCCTGGCTCTGCACTCAGGGATCACTCCTGGCGGTGCTCGGGGGACCCTAGGGGATGCCGGGGATCGAACCCGGGTCGGCCGCATGCAAGGCCAGAGCGCTGCCCACTGTGCTATCTCTCCGGCCCTTATTACAGCATGTTTTCATCATGCTCAAAGGAAGCCCCCCCTCGATTCCCCTTCCTGCGCCTCAAGAAAGACCCCCTTAAACTGGAGAGAACCAGTGGGAGGGACAGTTTCTTTGACTTTTTTTTCTTTAATTTTTAATTTTTTAATTGAATCATGGTGAGATAGACCCTTACAGCGCTGTTCATGGTTGGGTTTCATTCACACAGTGCTCCAACACCCGTCCCTCCACCAGGGCACATTTCCCAGCACCAGGGTCCCCAGGGTCCCTCCCATCACCCCCACCCCCTGCCTGCCTCTATGGCGGGACTTTTCTTCTCTCTCTTTCTCCCTCTCTCTCTCCATCTCTCTCCCTCTTTCTCTCTCTCTCCCTCTCCCCCTCTCTCTTCTCTCTCTCCTTTATCTCTCCTCTCTTCTCTCCTTAGCTCTCTCTGTCTCCCTCTCCCTCTCTCTCTCCCTCTCTCTCCGTCTCTCTCCCTTTCTCTCTCTCCCTCTCTCTTCGTCTCTCTCTCCCCTTCTCTCTCTCCCCCTCTCTCCTTTTCTCTCTCTCCCTCTCTCTGTCTCTCTCCCTTTCTCTCTCCTTCCCTCTCTCTCCCTCTATCTCTCCCTCTCTCTCCTTTGCTCTCTCTCCCTATCTCTCCCCCTCTCTGCTACTCCCCCCCCCACCTCCCTCTCCCCCTCTCCTTGTGAGCACTGTAGTTTGCAGTACAGGCACCGCTACGTTGTCTCATGGCTCCCTCGACCTCCTTTCGACACTCAGTTCCCGTCCAGCGTGGTCATTCCAACTCTCACTGTCTTTGCCCCTTCTCCTCGACTCCACCCTCCCCTCGCCGGGGGCCCCGTCTCCGCGTCCCCTCCTAGACGGATGTTCCCCGTCCTGAAGATCAGTGTCACCGGGCTGGACCCCAACGCCATGTACTCGCTGCTGCTGGACTTCGTGCCCACGGACGGCCACCGCTGGAAGTACGTGAACGGGGCGTGGGTGCCGGCCGGCAAGCCCGAGGCGTCCACCCACAGCTGCGTCTACATCCACCCCGACTCCCCCAACTTCGGGGCGCACTGGATGAAGGCCCCCATTTCCTTCAGCAAGGTGAAGCTGACCAACAAGGTCAACGGCAGTGGCCAGGTAGGCGGTGGAGGGGTGGGGGGTGGAGGGGGGAGCCGGCCACCCCCACGCGCCCCCTCCTCGCTACCACCTTCGATCAAGCGATGCCAAGGATGCATTTACCCAATTAGCGGGGCCCTCACTGGCCTCTCGAACCCCAGCAGCCAATTACTCCCCCTCCCCAGACGTAAACAGGAATAAACAGGCCTTAATTGCGGCTTTTCAGTTTTTAATGGACTTCCGGCTCTAACTGATGGGGGGGGTGGTGGGGGTGGGCTTGGGGGGGGCTGGCTTGGGCTCCCTAATCACCAGCCCTTTCAGAGCTGGGTCTGGGACCCTCTTGCTCCCTCCCTGCGCCCACCGCCCACCAGGAGGTGTGGGGGTCCACCTGGGTTTTGTTATTTCCCTCCCCCCCACCTTGATTGGGGTAAGTGGAATGTTGGCAATAGGCAAATTTCTTCATCAAAAGCGGCTCCCAAATGAAATAATTGCGGCTTCCACTGGGTATTATGATAATTATCAATAGAATATGGAATCAGCTTTCGGAAAAAAGGAAAAAAATACAGCCAAACCAACCTTAAATAAGGAAGGTTTTGTGTTTTGGGGGGTGTTTTTCCTCCTCCCGCTGGCTTGGGATCCTGTTAGGGAGTTTATAAGAGGCAGAAGGTTTGGGGCTGGAGCGATAGCACAGTGGGGAGGGCCTTGGCCTTGCATGCGGCTGACCCAGGTTCGATTCCCAGCATCCTATAGGGTCCCCCGAGCACCACCAGGAGTAATTCCTGAGTGCAGAGCCAGGAATCAGGCCTGAGCATCGCCGGGTGGGACCCAAAAGGCCAAAATGATGATAATAATAATAATAATAATAATAATAATGAGTCATGGGACTGGACAGATAGCACAGCGGGGAGGGCGTTTGCCTTGCACGCAGCCTACCCAGGTTCGATTCCCAGCATCTCATAGGGTCCCCCGAGCACCGCCAGGAGTGATCCCTGAGTGCAGAGCCAGGAGTTAACCCTGAGCATCGCCGGATGTGACCCAAAAAGCAAAAAAGAAAAAAAGATGCAGAGGGTTTGGGGGGCACCAGGCCCCCCATGCTGGGCGGTCATCGTGGCCGGCAGCTGGGCTGTCTATGGGGACCTAGCCGAGTGGCCCTGTACGTCCCTGCTGTCTCCCCATCCTTACTGCAGAAGGAAACTGGAACTCAGTGACCAGCACCCCTCACCCAGGCAGGATACATCTGTTTATCAGGCTGAACTCTGCCCTGCGTGTTTTCATTAAGCACAGCAGGTGGGGCATTGGCCTTGCACGCAGCCGACCCGGGTTCGATTCCTCCGCCCCTCTTGGAGAGCCTGGCAAGCTACCGAGAATATCTCGCCCGCACGGTAAAGCCTGGCAAGCTCCCCGTGACATCTTCGATATGCCAAACACAGTAACAAGTCTCACGATGGAGATGTTACTGGGCCCGTTCGAGCAAATTGATGAATAACGGGAGGACCGTGACTGTGACCATGACCCGGCGATGCTCAGGGCTGACTCTTGGCTCCGCGCTCAGGAATCACTCCTGGCAGGGCTCAGGGGACCCTCTGGGATGCTGAGAATCGAACCCGGGTCGGCTGCTTGCCAGGCGAACGCCCTCCCTGCTGTGCTATTGCTCCACCCCCTCCTTTCTCGGAGGAAGGCGCCCCCCCCAAGGCCCCCAGAGCCCATTGAGTGCGTCTGACGGGCGGCCCCCCGCCTCTCTCCAGATCATGCTGAATTCCCTGCACAAATACGAACCCCAGGTCCACGTGGTGCGCGTGGGGGGCGCCCACCGCATGGTGATGAATTGCTCCTTCCCGGAAACCCAGTTCATCGCCGTGACAGCCTATCAGAACGAGGAGGTGGGCGCACGTGTGTTCAGGCGTGTGGGTGGGACGCACCCGCGTGCAGTGCACACACAGGGGTTCTGTGAACATGGACCCAAGAGTCTGTGCTTAAGTACGTGTGTGTGTCATGTTTCCCCGTGTGCACATCCGTGTGTGAACAACACGTGTGCCCTGTAGGAACATGCAGATAGACATGCTTCGATCATGCAGATAGACATGCTTGCACACGGGTTCAGCTGTGCACGTGCATGTTTGCATTCATGTATGGTGTGTGTCTCTGCGTGTCGACACATGTTGGTGTGTGTCTGTACCGTGTCATGCGGAGAGGGGGGGTAGCCCGGGAGGGGGTTCTGGGACTCAGTCACCCAACAGGGAGGACGTGGGGGGTGGGGGGTCCTGAGATTTCCCTCGCCCCTGTGCCAAGCCCACAGTGTTCCCTTGCGATAGCATGGCAGGGAGGGCGTTTGCCTTGCACGCGGACGACCCGGGTTCGATTCCTCCGCCCCTCTCGAAGAGCCCAGCTATCTAGCAAGAGTATCCCGCCCGCACGGCAGAGCCTGGCAAGCTCCCCGTGACGTATTCGAGATGCCAAACACAGTAACAACAAGTCTCACAATGGAGACGTTACTGGGCCCGCTCGAGCAAACCGATGAACAACGGGAGTTGACAGTTGACAGTTGTATTTTTAATTTTTTGGCTTTTTTGGGGCCACACCCGGCGATGCTCAGGGCTGACTCCTGGCGGTGCTCGGGGAACCCTAGGGGATGCCAGGGATCGAACCCGGGTCGGCTGCATGCCAGGCAAACGCCCTCCCTGCTGTGCTGTCGCTCCGTCCCCACGAGTCCCATTTCCACAGACTCTTGTTGCCTTTGTCCCAGATCACGGCACTCAAGATCAAGTACAACCCCTTCGCCAAAGCCTTCCTGGATGCCAAAGAGAGGTGAGTGGGAAGGTTCTGGAAAATCTTCAGCGTTGGCTTCCACGTGTGTGAGATTCACCGTCGTGGAAAGGGGCCAGGCTGGCGGTGTTGCCGCCTTTCTGTTTCTTTGTATGGTGGAGCGGGACCCCCAAGGATGTTTGCAGGGCGAGGTCTGGCGATATTCCAGGCTGCAGACAGCAAGTTACACAGCCCGGAGACAACTCAAAGAGCAGGATTCTGAGTCGAGAACATTCCGGTCAGAAAAATGGGGGCAGGAGAGCCTGGAGAAAATAGTGGTTTTTTTTTTTTCTTTCTTGGTTTATGGGCCAAACCCAGTAATGCTGGGGGATCACTCCTGGCTCTGTGCTCAGGACTGACTCCTGGTTCTGTGCTCCGGGCTCACTCCTGGTTCTGTGCTCAGGGCCCACTCCCAGCTCTGTGCTCAGGGATCACTCCTGGCTCAGTGCTCAGGGCTCATTCCTGACTCTGTGCTCGGAGCTCACTCCTAGCGCTGCTCGGGGGTCACTCCTGGAGGTACGTGGGGGTCACTCTGGGCTCTGTGCTTGAGGCTCAATCCTGGTTGTGCTCAGGGCTGACTCCTGGCTCTGTGCTCAGGTCTCACTCTTGGCTCAGTGCTCAGGGTTCACTCTTGGCTCGGTGCTCAGGGCTCACTCTTGGCTCAGTGCTCAGGGCTCATTCCTGACTCTGTGCTCGGAGCTCACTCCTAGCGCTGCTCGGGGGTCACTCCTGGAGGTACGTGGGGGTCACTCTGGGCTCTGTGCTTGAGGCTCAATCCTGGTTGTGCTCAGGGCTGACTCCTGGCTCTGTGCTCAGGGATCACTCCCGATGCTGCTCAGGGCTCACTCCTGGCAGTGCTCGGGGCTCAATCCTGGAGGTACTTGGGGGTCACTCCTGGCTCTGTGCTCGGGCTCACTCCTGGCGGGACACTCAGGGGTCACTCAGGGGACCGGATGTGGTGCCGGGGTCCAGCCTGCATGTAAGGTAATGCCCTCCCCATTTATGCCATCACTCCATAGCGATGTTTTGACTTTTGTCTCCTACGGAAGGTGGGAACCGAATAGCCTAGGTCTGTTTTCTCCTGGACTTGGGGGGTCATCTCCCCGCCTTGGCCACCCTTGGCTTCTCTTCTAGGAACCATCTGAAAGAACTTCCGGAAAGTATATCAGAGAGTCAGCACATGACGTACTCTCACTGTGAGTTGGGGGCCCTGGGTCAGGAGGGTTGAGGCGGGTGTCGCCACATAGGACTCCTATTTGGGGTGATGGGGGCGCAGTACCCAGTGGTGTTCAGAGGATCGTGAAGTCCTGGAGTTTGAAACGGGGGTTCCCACGGAGTCCTGACCCTTTTGCTTCCTTTTCCTGCCCATCCACCTAGATTATTTTTCTTTTTGCTTTTTTTGGGGGTCACACCCGGCGATGCCCAGGGGTTCTTCCTGGCTCTGCACTCAGGAATCACTCCTGGCAGTGCTCGGGGGACCCTATGGGATGATGGGGATCGAACCTGGGTCAACCACATGCAAGGCAAATGCCCTCCCCACTGTGCTATCGCTCCAGCCCCACCACCTAAATTTTTTGACATTTTCTTGAAGAGAGGGAGGTGCCGGGGGCTTCTCCCACCCCTTCCGCTCCTGTTTCGTCGAGGGGTTGGTTGGTTTTGTTTTCTAACTGTGGAAAGACGCGGGGTTCAGCCCAGCTCTCTCCCACACTGCCTTGAAGTTCTCCCCCACGGATACATTTCCACGGCCCTGAGCCTTCAAGAAGGTTCTGCAGGGGCTGGAGCAATAGCACAGGGGGGAGGGCATTTGCCTTGCACGTGGCCGACCCGGGTTCGATCCCCGGCATCCCATAGGGTCCCCTGAGCACCGCCAGGAGTGATTCCTGAGTGCAGAGCCTGGAGTAACCCCTGAGCATCGCTGGGTGTGGCTCTCCCCCGCAAAAACTGCTGCTGGGTTCAGGAGGGCTGGGCCAGCTCCGTCTCTGGGGGCTGGAGGTGGGGACCCCTCGATTTCTCTCTCCAAGTGAGAATGAAGGTTTCCTGCCTGGTGGGCAGAAGTGCACCCCTGCGGAAACACCCGCTGCCTTCGGTCACAGGTGACATAGGAAACCCAGGGCCACTTCTGGTGGCGCTGGGCTTGAACCCGGGGCCTCCCGGGTCCCAGACACAAGCTCTTCCCCCGAGTCACACCTCAAGCCCACCTGACGACACAGCCCTGGGACTCTCCTTGGGCTTCCCCGAGCCTCGCGTTCAAGGTGTCTCTCCCCTCCCCTCCCCACCCTCCCTGTTGGCCACCCGTATCCCTGGAAACGCTGAGTCCTCCCCCCCAACCTGCCCCCGGGCTCTGTCTGTGCGCAGTGGGCGGCTGGATCTTTTCCAACCCGGAAGGCGTGTGTGCAGCAGGAAGTGCCGGTTACCAGTACCCGGGCGGGCTCCCGCTATCCCCACACAGCCACCACGGCTGCGAGCACCACCGCGGGCACCGCCACGTCCCCTACCCGCCGGCCTGTGCGCACAGGAGCCACGGCCCCGCAGGTGTGTGCCGCCAGTGAACAGCCTTGGGGGTGTGTGCATGTGTGCACATGCATATATGTGTGTGTGCTTATGTGTGCTCGTGTGTGTGTGCATGTGTGTGCGTACACGTGTGCACGTGCGTGTGTACATGTGCGTATGTGCCTGCATGTGTGCCTGCATGTGTGTGCGTGTGTGCATGTACATATGTGTGTGCCTGCGTATGTACATGGTGGTGCCCACGGTGGTGCTCGCAGCATGTGCACGTGCATGTGTGTGTGTATTCATGTGTGTACATATGCATGTGCGTGCTTGTGTGTGCATGTGCACGTGTGCACGCATGTGTGCAGGTGTGTGTATGTGTGTGCGTGTGTGCATGCGTGCACATGCATGTGTGTGTACATGTGTGTACATACGTGTGTGTGCATGTGCGTGTGTACATGTGCGTGTGTGCCTGCATGTGTGTCTGCATGTGTGTGGGTGAGTGTGCGTGTGTGTGCATATACATATATGTGCCCGAGTGTGTGCATGTGCATGCATGTACTTGTGTGTGCATGCATGTATGTGTGCATGTGCATGTGTATTCATGCATGTGTGTGCATGTGTGTGTACATGTGCGTGTGTGCCTGCGTGTGTGCCTGCATGTGCCTGCATGTGCCTGCATGTGTGTCTGTGTTGTGCGTGAGTGTGCGTGTGTGCATGTACATATGTGCGTGCCCATGTGTGTGCGTGTGTGCATGTGCATGCATGTACTTGTGTGTGCATGCATGTGTGTACATGTGCGTGTGTGTTCATACATGTACCTGTGCATGTGTGTGCTTGTGTGTGCATGTGCATGCACGTGTATATGTGCGTGTGTGCACATGCATGCATGTGTGTGCACGTGTGTATGTGCGTGCATGCATGTGTGCATGTGCGTGTGTGTGTGTAAAACAGAAAAACTGCAGACGGAAAGAAGTAAGCAGCTGGCCCTTGCCTTGAATACTATTGAATAGTTGTCGCTTACTTTGGGGGGTCACAGTTGGCGATGCTCAGGGCTGACTCCCGACTCTGCACTCAGGAATCCCTCCTGGTGGGCTCAGGGGAACTATACGGGAGCTCCGGGCCCGAACCCGGGTCTGCCGTATGCCAGGCACGTGCCCTCCCCATGGCCCCGCTCATTTATTTCCTTTATTCGGGGTCACGGGCAGAGCCTGGCAAGCTCCCCGTGGCGTCTTCGAGATGCCAGATACAGTAACGACAACAGGTCTCATTCCCCTGACCCTGAAAGTGCCTCCAATCGTTGGGAAAAGACGAGTGAGAAGAGGCTGCTAAAATCTCAAGGCTGGGAGGAAGAGAGACGTTACTGGCGCCCGCTCGAGTTATTTGAGGACCAATGGGATGATAGTGATAGTGATTCAGGGGGAAACGGGGTCCCTGTGTTCTGCTGTGACCCGGCCAGGAGGGGCGTTCCCAGGGTCCTTGGATCTCAGGTCTCCCCAGTGGGGGTTATGCGGGTAGTGGGGTGTTGGGGGAGAAACCCCGGGGCCCTATGCTCCGGCTCTGGGTCCTGTTCTGGGGTGCTGGGCCCGGGCGGGTCCCTCTGCAGCTGGACGGGAGGGGCTTGCGGGCTGGGGCGGGAGCGTCTGTCTGTGGGGGCCCCCCGGGAGTCTGGCTGGGTGTCCCTGGGAGCTCCTCCCCAGGGTGGGGCCTTCGAGGGTGCCTCACCCCGCCTTCACGCTGTTGCCGAGTCGGACCCCGGGGGATCAGGCACTAAGTGAAGTGCGTCCAGCTCGGGCCAGTGGGAGGGCAGCGAGGCTGCACCCCCCCGTCCACAGGGCGAGCCCCCCACAGCACCGGGTGTCCAGCTGCAGGCTGGCCGCAGCACCCGCAAGGTGGGCCCTGGACTGGGCTCCTGCTGGCAGGGCTGGGCTGCGTCCCTGGGACTGTGGGGTGCTGGGCTGAGTCCCTGGGGCTGGCGGGTGCTGGGCTGAGTCCCCTGGGGCGGGCGGGTGCTGGGCTGTGCTCTAACGAGGCCCCTGGGGCTTGTGAGAAACCCAGGGAAGAGAAATGCGGAGGCAGGAGCTGGGGACAGTGGGCGGGCAGGGGGAGGTGACCGGACATTGCAGGGGACCAGGATGCAGGACGTGGATGATGGGAGGCGGCACAGGCCTTGGGTCTGGGGTCACAGGGGGTGGGACTGCCTGAGGGTCCCAGGACAAAGAGGAGGGGGCAGGGGAGGGGGGAGAGGCGGAAGGTGCCAGAAGGAAAGCTGGAGGAGGGCTGGAGCTGGAGACACTGTGATCTTCTTCCCCCTCGTCCCTCTCCTCCCCCTCCTCCCTCCCCTTCCTCCTCCCCTCCCCTCCCCCACCCCTCCCCTCTCTTCTCCCCTCCCCTCCCCCTCCCCTCCATTCCCTCCTCCTCTCCCCTCCCCTTCTCACCCTTCCCCTCCCCTCCACTCCCCTCCCCTTCCTTCCCCTCTTCTTCCTCCTCCCTCTCCTCTCTTTCTCCCCTCCCCTCCCTCCTCCCTCCCTCCTTCCCCTCCCCCTCCTTCTTCCCCAGCCTCTCCTCTCCCTCTCCCCTCCTCCCTCCTCTCCTTCCCTCCCTTCCTCCCCCTCCCCTCCTCCATCAACCCCTCCCCACTCCTCCTTTCCATCCTCCTTCCATCCCTCCTCCCTCCCCTCCCCCTCCCCTCCCCCTCCCCTCCCCTCCTCTCCCTTCCCCTCCCCTCTTCCTCCTCCCTCTCCTCTCTTTCTCCCCTCCCCTCCCTCCTCCCTCCCTTCCTCCTCCTTCCCTCCTCCATCACCCCCTCCCCGCTCCTCCTTTTCATCCTCCTTCCATCCCTCCTCCCTCCCCTCCACCTTCCCCTACTCTCCCCACTCACCCTCCCTCCCCTCCCCTTTTCCCTCCCTCCCACTCCTCCAGCCCCCCATACCATCATTTTGGGGTGCAGCCAGGAGGTTTGGGGAGGGACCCAGATGTAGGTGTCCTTCCCCAGGCATTTCACACCCTCCTGGGGCTGCTGCAGCCCGGTGGAAGCTCCCTGGGGACCCCGACTGGGGTTGGGGGCTGTGAGTGAGGGGACGCGGGGGGGGGGGGGGAGGGCCAGTTCTCGCCTGTCTCACCCTGCAGCCTTGTTCCCTGCAGTGAACCTGATGGAAAGTTCCAGCACTAACCTGCAGGTGTTCTCGGGACCGGACGCCTGGACGCCCGTGCCCCCCGCACCGCCTGTGGGCCTTCTGTCTGCCCCGCACAGCAGCGCGGGGCCCGGGTGAGTGGGGGCTGAGGGGGGCTGAGACCCCCGCCACCGTCTCCTCCAGCCTCTTGTTTGCTAAACCAGAATCTCTCGCAGAGTCCCTGGGCCAATTTATTTTCTTTTTGGGTCCCACCTGGCGATGCTCAGGGCTGACTCCAGGCTCTGCACTCAGGAATCACTCCTGGCGGTGCTCGGGGGGCCCTATGGGATGCTGGGGCTCGAACCCGGGTTTGCTACGGGCTAGACCAATGCCCTCTTTATCACTCCTGCCCATGTCTGTCTGTCTGTCTGTGTGTCTCTATGTGTGTCTCTCTGTCATACCCAGCGATGCTCAGAGCCGACTCCTGGCTCTGCACTCAGGAGTCACTCCTGGCGGTGCTCGGGGGACCCTAGGGGATGCTGGGATCGAACCCGGGTCGGCCGCGTGCAAGGCAAACGCCCTACCCTCTGTGCTCCAGCCCCAACCCGGGCCAAATTTTGCTGAGCATCCGCAGGAGAACAGAAAAATGCTGGGATGTTCTGTAAGCAGGAACTCACCTCTAAGTGTCAGCCCCGAAGGTCTGCCTGTGCAGTGTCTGGGGAAGGTGCAGAAAAGCGGGGGGGGGGGGGCGGGCGGGGGGTTGGGGGGCTGCGGGCGCAGGGCCCTGAGGGCTGGAGTGATGGCACAGCTGGGAGACACTCGCTTCACACACGGCCGACCAGGGTTCAGTCCCCGGCATCCCACAGGGTCCCCTGAGCCCCGCCAGGAGTGATGCCTGAGCACAGAGCCAGGAGTATCCCTGAGCACTGAGCCAGGAGTAACCCTAAGCACCACCAGGAGTCACCCCTGAGCACAGAGCCAGGAGTGATCCCCGAATGCAGCCTCCCCCCACCCCGAAAAGGAGTAAACAGGTATATAAAAGGACCCCCGAGGGCCGGAGCGATAGCACAGTGGGGAGGGCATTTGCCTGGCACGTGGCCGACCCGGGTTCAATCCCCGGCATCCCATAGGGTCCCTTGAGCACGCCAGGAGTGACCCCTGAGTGCAGAGCCAGGAATAAGCTTGAGCACAGAGCTAGGAGCGAGCCCTGAGCACAGTGGGGTGTGGTTTCCCCCATAAAAATGCTGTCTAGTCCTTACTCAAGTGTCTAAATAAAAGTGTTCCCTCCCCTCCCAGGGGCTGGAGCTATAGTACAATGGGGAGGGTGTTTGCCTTGCACGCGGCCGACCCGGGTTCGATTCCCAGCATCCCATAGGGTCCCCCGAGCACCGCCAGGAGTAATTCCTGAGTGCTTGAGCCAGGAGTCAGCCCTGAGCATCGCCGGGTGGGACCCAAAAAGCAAAAAAATAAAAAGGACCCAGGAGTCGCTGCGTAAACCAAGGGGCAGGTGGCACCCCTCGCCCACCCGCTTTGGGGAGAGCGTGTGGCACCCCGAGTCCAGCCCGCGGCCTGGAGGCCACCCCGGCCCGTCCTGGTGGTCTCCCCGCCCCCTCCATGGCCTGACGCTCCCTCTCTCTGCAGCGCCTACCCCTGCCTGTGGACCCTGAGCAACGGCGGTGGTGGGGGCCCGCCCGGCCCCGAGACTCACGCCAGCCCGCCCGGCGCCCTCCTCCTGGGCGCCCCCCCGGTGGGCTCGCCGCTGTCCACGCAGGTGCCCGTCTCGGCCGGCCTGGACGTCCTGGGGGAGCCGTCGCTCACCAGCTTCGCCGTGTCCACGTGGACCACCGTGGCCTCGCACCCCTTCTCGGGCTGTGGGGGCGCCGGGGGGTCCGGGTGCCATTCCCCGACCTCCCTGGAGAGTTAGGGTGCCCCCACCAACAAGGTGCATGGAAGCTTCTAGATGTAGCGCTCAGGCCCCGCCCCAGAGCTCTCCCCCGTCCCCCGTGCAGTGGGGGAGGAGGTCCCCCTCACCACCTGCAGGGGCCCAGGTTCATGGAGGGCCCCCATTCCTCTTGGAAGGTTCCAGAAGGCTTCTCTGCCCTGGCTGGTGGTTCCGCAGGGGGACCGGTCACTGAGTGCGGATCTGGAGCGAGGCCAGCTCGCACTCAGGGGAGCACTGCCCAGCCCTCCCTCCAGGATGGAGCCTCACCCTCCGGCCCCACCCCTGCTGAACCCCAGACCCCCCACTGGCCTGCACCCCATCTCCCGCAGTCCAGCCCCCAGGACCTCACGCCTCTCAGCGGCCCAGGCCCCCGGGCCCTGGTTTGGATCTCAAGGGACCCCTCGGTCCCCTCCTGTGTGTCCCCAGCCCACTCCAGCCGCAGGCCCGGGGGTTCTGCATCTTGTCTCCACCGCGCCAACAAACCTCCCCCGGACCAATAAACGTGTCTGAGCTGACCACTGGGCCATCCGTCTGTCAAGTTCCCAGGCTGGCAGCTGAGCTAAGGGCCGGCTCTCGGGGATGGACAGTCCCGGGAAGCCAAACCGTCTAAACACACGTACACAGCAGCACATACAAACACATGCACACATACAGACTCGCGTGTCTGTGCTTGTGTACACGGCATAAAACACGTGTACAGGCACGCGCACACAAAACGCGTGTACAGACATGTACACACCACACCCCCAGCCACAACACAACCAACACAGCCACACACCTATGGCCACATGCAACGCGTGCATGCACCTATGCACACACAGGCACAAAGTACCTACATCCGTGCACACGACTACACAGTCACACGCACACACAGTCACACGCACATACAGTTCACACGCGTACACAGTCACACGCGCACACGGTCACACGCACACACACAGTCACATGCACACACAGTCACACGCGTACACAGTCACATGCGCACACAGACACGCACACACACAGTCACATGCACACACACAGACACGCACGCGCACACACGCACACACGCACACGCGGCATCCTACCTCTGTCCCTTTCTCCGCGGCAATCCCTCTGCCTGCCGCTAGGTGGCAGCAGAGCCCGGGTCTACACCGGCCCTGGGCACCCTGCGGGGGTCTTTGCACCGTTTGCAGAGGTGCCGCAGCGCCTCCTCCGGGAAGGCAACAGCCCTTCCCCGGGCCGCGGCTCCCAAGGACGCCCCGGCGAGGGCCCGGACATCCTGAGCTGCCCTCCGCCGGGCAAGCGCCACCCCAATAAGCACGCGCGCAGACCCCTCCACCACCGCCCTTCCCAGAGTGCAGCCCCCGGGCACCCAAGGGTGCTGGGCGCAGCCGGCGGCGTCGGGTGTTGTGGGCGTACAAGGGACAGGGCGTGGCTGCGCTGGGCACCTCTGGGGGAGGCCAGAAAGTGGACTCAGGGCTGCAATGCGCACGCACCGCCTTGCAGAGGCCGAGGGGACCAGGGTGGTCTCTGCGGGGGGGGGGGGGGGGGGGGCTACCCACACCGGGCCGGTGCTTCAGCAAGGGTGAGGGAGGACCCGGTCTACAGAGCCCCAGCTTGGCTCTTAGAATTGGAAGATACCAGAGTCTGTTCTTGCGGGCCCGGGGCGCCGGCCAGGACCCAGACACCAGCCTTGCCAAAGATGAATTTTAAATTTTCATTTTCTTTTTATTTTTTGCAACCGACCGGGTTCAATTCCTCCATCCCTCTGGGAGAGCCTGGCAAGCTACTGAGAGTATCCCGCCTGCATGGCAGAGCCTGGCAAGCTCCCCGTGGCTTATTTGATATGCCAAACACAGTCACAAGTCTCACAATGGAGACGTTACTGGTGCCCGCTGGAGCAAATCGATGAACAACGGGAGGCCAGTGACAGTGACAGTCCCTTTTTTGGATCTCACCTAGCACAGCGGGTAGGGCGTTTGCCTTGCACGCGGCCAACCCAGCCAAACTGAGTTTGATTCCTCCGCCCCTCTCGGAGACCCTGGCAAGCTACCAAGAGTATCTCGCCCGCACGGCAAAGCCTGGCAAGCTCCCCGTGACGGATTCAGTATGCCAAACACAGTAACAAGTGTCACAACGGAGACGTTACTGGGTCCGTTCGAGCAAACTGATGAACAACGGGAGGACAGTGCTACAGTGCTACCTGGGCGATGCTCAGGGGTTCCTCCTGGCTCTGCACTCAGGAATCCCTCCTGGCAGTGCTCGAGGAACCCTATGGGATGCTGGGAATCGAACCCAGGTCAGCCGTGTGCAAGGCAAACGCCCTCCCCACTGTGCTATCGCTCCAGCCCTGAACTGAGCTATTTCTCCCCCCCGCCCGGACCCCTATCCAAGTGTCTCCAGAGGACAAGGACTGTTGACAGATGCCAAGAAGTGCGTGGGTGACTACAGCCCAGTTTGGCTGAGGATGGGGTGGGATCTGTCTGGGATCCCAGGTCAGGAGATGCCTCGCCCTGTCCCATTTGTGTTCTGGGCTCATCTTTCTGGGATTTACACCCCACTGTCCTCAGCCTCCGTGGACGGTGGGAGGCGGCAAACCCCGAATCCCTGTTTGCACCCAGCACCCAGCCCAATGATGGATTGATTCCCTGGCTCTGGGGTTGCCTGGCTCGGTGTCTGCATGGATGCGAGGTGAGCTCGCCCTGTGCACTTCCTCCTTCTCCAGAATAATTTCCTCTCTGCCCCCAAGAACGTGCAGATGAGGTCGACCAGAAGGCTATTAAATACATCATAGGGGAAAACCCACCAGCCCCATCCGGGAAGGGGCGAGGGGCTTTATAAGGTGCACGGAGGTTGCAAGTTCTTCATCTCACTTGGCCTTGACCGGCCCGGAAATGCGTAACTGCACGCAGCTGGGATGGCGCCTCCAGACTGCAGGGCAAGATGCTGCTCAGAGCTTCGCCTTGACCAAAGCAGTGGGGGCCACGGAGGGCTCTGGGCCCCTCCTTGGCGCCCACCAGGCTTGTGCCTGAACCCAGGGACCAGCCAAGCCAACAGCGCCCCGACGTTCCCAGGGGTGCACGTGTTCGTGCCTGCGCGCAGCGCGCTCATGCGCAAATTCAGTCTTTTCTGCGTGCCCGGGAAATGGTGGCTGCTGAGACCTCCCAGGAGGGCCTCGTGGGCAGCCAGTGCAGATGGAGCTCCCAGCACCCCCAGACTGAGTTGGGGGTGCCTGGAGTCTCTGCAAGTGGTTGGCGTCGGGCACACGCCGTGGGAATTCTGCACCCGGTAGGATTAAGGGTGCATGAGGGTCCGAGCTCGTGGGGGCCCAGGCATTAGCACATGGGTCCCGGGTCGCAGCTTGTGACATCGCTGAGCACGGTGGAGGTCGTGCACTGCACAACTCCGCCTCGGGCACCCAGTTTGGACATTGGCGCTACTGGCAGCACTCTGGGGTGCGCTGGGGTGTGCGTTGTGCATGGCACAGGGTGCTGGAATCTGGAAGGGGGTGCGGGAGGGCAGGCCAGGTGTCTCCTGCGCTGCGCGCGTGTGTGTAGGGGGTTGTCCAAACGGGGCCCAATTTCACACCCACCTGAGACAAAGCAAACTGCATTTGTGGCCCTGAGTGTGTGAGTAGTCACAACTGCATCTTCTCTGTGGCGGTCAAACCCGGCGATGCTCAGGGGTCACTTCTGGCTCTGCACTCAGGGGTCACTCCTGTGGCAGTGCTCGGGGGAACCCTATGGGATGCTGGGAATCGAACCCGGATGGGCCGTGTGCCAGGCAAACGCCCTCCCCGCTCTGGGTCCTGATAGGGGAGGTTTTAAATGTTCAGTGTCCTTGTGTCTCCGTCCTTAATCACACACATATAAACGCACACACGCGAGTACAACACGCGCGCACACACACGCACACACACACAGCTGTTCCACTTCATCAGCGCAGACAACAAACTAAGCTGCTATGATCTTCATGGTTTCAGGGGATTTTTTTTTCCCCCTTTTTCTTTTTTTGGTCTCTTTTGCTTTTATTTTATTTAGCTGGGTTCCTGGTCCACAGCCTAGTGATGTTCAGGGCTTTGCTCCGGGCTCAGGGTCACTCCTGGCAGTGCTGGGGACCCCATGGGGTGCTGGGGATCGAACCAGCGCCCTCCCCACTGTGATATCGCTCTGGCTCTGCTTTTTATTTATTTTTTTAATAATAAGGTTACTGTCACTGTCCTCCCATTGTTCATCGATTTGCTCAAGCGGGCCCAGTAACGTCTCCATCGTGAGACGTGTTGTTACGATGTTTGGCATATCGAATACGTCACGGGGAGCTTGCCAGGCTTTGCTGTGCGGGCGAGATACTCTCAGTAGCTTGCTGGCCTCTTCGAGTTGGGTGGAGGAATCGAACCTGGCTCGGCCAGGCCAGCTGCTGTGCTATTGCTCCAACCCAATAATAAGGTTGAGGTTGTTTTTTTTCTTTTTGGGTCACACCCGGCAATACACAGGGGTCACTCCTGGCTCTGCACTCAGGAATTGCCCCTAGCGGTGCTCAGGGGACCCTATGGGATGCTGGGAATCGAACCTGGGTCGGCCGCGTGCAAGGCAAACGCCCTACCCGCTGTGCTATGAGCTCCAGCCCCTAATAAGGTTGTTTTAAAGGGAAAAAGAAATTCCATAGACCCAACAGCACATTCCCCACCAGTGGCATAATGTGCCCGAGAAACCATGATGATGAAGAGATTGTAACCCACAGAATCTCAATGAAAAAAAAATTATTGAAATTTGGAAAAAAGAAAGAAAGAAAGCTGGTCGACAACAAAATTGCATCTGGTCCGGGTGGAGTGGACAGTGCTTGGGGTTCTCTGTCTTGAGTCAAAGTGGCCTTGGAGGACCCTGGAGAGGAGGAGAAGGCGGGGTGCGCCCACCCGCCTGGCATCACGCGCCCCTCACAGCCCCTTCCCGACGCCCTGCGCGCAGACGCGGGTCTGGGGGGCGTCAGACCCCCAGCCTGCACCTCCCTTTTTCCTTTTTGCCCACGCGCACGGATGCCACAGGCCCGGCGGGATCGGGGTGGCGGGGAGAACCCCCTTTCCATCCGGGCCCGAGCGGGCGGAGGTGGGCGCGGTGGGTGGCAGGCGCTGGAGGCGCCGCGAATCCGCCAAACCCGGCACGGCCCCCGGTGACGTCAGCGGCGGCGCGCGTTGCTAGGCAACGCCTCCCGCGCCCCGGGGCCCGGATGCTAAAAATGCATCTCGCGGCTGCCTGCCTCGTCCCCCCCAAAAAGCCACTGACTCATGGGAAGCTCATCCGGGGCTCCCGCGCGCTGCCCGTGGAGGGCAAAGAGGACACGGGGGGGTGTCCCACAATTTGCTCTGTGTGTGCTCTCCCCTAAAAAAAAATCCCTTTTATACTCCAGGAAAATAAACGAATAGAGGTCCACCTTTTGGTTTTTTTTTTTTTGGCTTTTTGGGTCACACCCCGCGATGCACAGGGGTTCCTCCTGGCTCCGCACTCAGGGATCACTCCTGGCAGTGCTCGGGGGACCCCATGGGATGCTGGAGATTGAACTCAGGTCAGCTGCGTGCAAGGCAAACGCCCTCCCCGCTGTGCTATCGCTCCAGCCCCCAGGTCCACCTTCTGCAGCAAGAGGCAGACCCCGTATTTGCACCCGATCCTCATAAAAAGTCTTTTTTTTTTTTTTCTGGCCACCCCTGGTAGCGGTGCTCAGGTGCTCTGGGCTCAGGGCTGACTCCTGGCTCTGTGCTCAGAGATCACTCCTGGCAGGGCGCAGGACTGACTCCTGCCTCTGTGCTCAGGGCTCACTCCTAGCGGGCGTCAGGGATGCTGGGGATGGAACCTCGCGGGCAGTGAACAAGGCTTAACGCCCTCCCTGATATACGATAAAGGACAGTAAGATCATTTCACCCCGCTGTGAAGTGGAGTCCCACCCTCCTAAGCCCTGCTCTGCCTTGCCGAAGCTTCTGGAAACCTTGCAGGAGAGGAGCAGCTCAGGGACCAGCTCCAGCCCCCCTTTCCCCCAGTTCTCAGCCCCAGCCTGGCTGCAAGCAGGACTTCATTTGCCCTTTCTCATGCCCCCTAACCCGGCGCCCGACCGCCCTTGACTCTGGCGTCTGGGATGGTGTAAATAGGCCAGGCTGGCTCCGAGCTGGGCTGGGTGGGAGGGCTGGAGGGGGGGGGGGGCGCAAGGTGCCACTTCAGTGTGGCATCTGGGTCAACAGAGGCCCAAGGCACTGTCTCTTCAGCTGAGCCGTCTCCAGCCAGTTAATTAACCTCCTGCTGCTGCCGGCCTGCCGGTGAGGGGCGGGATTCTGGGGGATGAGTAAGTGAGGGGTGGGAGGATCCGGGCCTGGTACCTGCCAGGGGGCTCAGAGGAATCCTGGTCCTTTGGGAGGGGCTTGGCGAGAGTCTCACAGGGCAGAGGGCGGAGGTGGCCCCAGGCGCTGGGTGCTGTTTGGTTCTACCTTCCGAAACAGGAGCGAATTTGCCTCCTTCCTCTGTAGCCCCTACTAACTGGGTTCCTCTTTCCTTATTATTATTTTTTTAAATCTTTTTGGGTCCCACCCGGCGATGCTCAGGGGTTCCTCCTGGCTCATGCACTCAGGAATCACTCCTGGCAGTGTTCAGGGGACCCTATAGGATGCCGGGGATCGAACTCGGGTCTGCTGCGTGCAAGGCCAACGCCCTCCCCGCTGGGCTATCGCTCCAGCCCCTCCTCTTTCCTTTCTATCGTCCCTTTTGGGGGAGTCGATCCTGGTGTTTGGGGGATGGTGAGGGATCAGGATGTGCTCAGCCCTTGCCCTCTCTCCTAGGGTGGGCTTTAGGGGGTGAGGAACCCGGTTCTCGAGTCCTGTCAGCTGGTTCTGCATGGGCAGGGAGAAGGAAACTCTTCCCACAGTGCTCTCTGGTCTCGGATGGGGCCGGAGAGAGAGGATAGTGGGAAAGGCACTGGTCTTGCACGAGGCCAACCTGGGTTTAATCCCTGGCACAGGGGTTGGAGAGATAGCACAGCGGGGAGGGCGTTGGCCTTGCACACGGCCAACCCGGGTTCGATCCCCAGCATCCCATAGGGTCCCCCGAGCACCGCCAGGAGTAATTCCTGAGTGCAGAGCGAGGAGTCAGCCCTGAGCATCACTGGGTGGGATCCAAAAAAGCAAAACAAAAACAAAAAATCAATTCCTGGCACAGTGTGCGGCCCCTCGAGCCCACTAGGAGTAAACCCTGAGCACCAGAGGGTGTGTGTGTCCCCCCAAATAATAAGAGCAGAACCCCAAGTTGCAGGTTATCAGGAGGTGAAGCGGTCCAGAGCTGAGATGCTGTTCAAACCCAGGAGAGAACGGGACACGCCCGCATCACCCTCAGGTTGCAGTTCCAGCTAACGAGGCTCTGGCTGATCGGAAAAGTGGGTTCCACATGCATGACGACTACAGGGGCCGGCCGGGCTGCCAGCTCCCGGCCTGGCGTCTTCCACGCCATTTGATCTAGGCCCGACAGGCTCGTTTTCCAGAAATCCGGGTGCATGGGATCTGGGTTCGACCCAGCAGGAGGGATGGGAAGGTGTTTTCCCGGCCTCTGCAGTTCCACGTTCAAGAGAGGAAGAAAAACTTAAGCTCTCACATGGCCAGGATCCAGAGACACACAAACGAACCTCGGTCCCGAGCAACTTGCTGCAGCGACCTCTTCAGACCCTCGGTCACGGTCACGGTCCTCCCGTTGTTCATCGATTTGCTCGAGCAGGCCCAGTAACGTCTCCATTGGAGACTTTGTTGTTACTGTGTTTGGCATATTGAAGACGCCACGGGGAGCTTGCCAGGCTCTGCCATGCGGGTGGGATACTCTCAGGAGCTTGCCAGACTCTGAGAGGGGCGGAGGAATCGAACTTGGCACGACAGGGCTGGCTGCATGCAAGGCAAATGCCCTACCGCTGTGCTGTCGCTCTAAAAATTTAAGATTCCTAAAGCCTGCGGCCACTTTTGTGGCTGCGCAACATTGTATTACATCTGAAACAAACCATATGAAACGCATTGTCTAGTGTTGCCTTTTTGGCAGGTACGAGTGGTGTTGTTCTGGTTTCAAAATATCGAAGGTAACTAAAGTAGAGAGAGGGTATTGTGCAAATTGTCTGCCGCACAGGCAGGGGGAGGTGTGGAATGAGGGGTGGGGGGATACTGGGGATTTGGGTGGTGGATAATTTGCACTGGTGAAGTGATGGGTGTTGGATGACTATCGATATTCAAACATGAAAGTTTTGTTACTGTACCTCACGGTGAATCAATTAAAATATATATATAAAAAAATTTAAAAAATTGAAAAAAAAGAGGAGGGAAAAAGCCACGGGACTCGGTGCTAGACCCCCCCAGCCCACACTGGGGCTGCCCCGGGGTTCTAATGTTTATCCATCTGCCTCCCCGAGTCAGCACCTGCCATGAGACCACGGATGTGGTCTACCCAGCTACCCAACGTGGCACTCAAGATTAAGGAACAGTCTCGATTTACAGTTCCGAGAACCAGGTCCCCGTCGCTGCCTGTTCAGGGGACAGCCAACCCCCCAAAAAAACCCAACAGTCCTGGGGTTGGAACGATGGCACAGCAGGTAGGACGTTTGTCTTGCATGCGGCCGACCCGGGTTCGATTCCCAGCATCCCACAGGGTCCTCCGAGCACCACCAGGAGTAATTCCTTAGTGCATGAGCCAGGAATAATCCCTGAGCATCGCCGAGTGTGACCTAAAAAGAAAAAAAAACACCAGTCCACAATTCCTTTTAGTACCATTTGACGCCATGCAGGGGATGAAGGGCAAAGGTCAGAGGACCCTGGTGGGTTCTCGCAGGAAGTGACGTGAGGGCTGAGTCTTCTTGGGGGAGCCTCTGACGTGTGGTCTGTGTGGGTGGGGTGCAAGGTGAGACCCGGGGGGTCCACTGTAGCTCAGCTCTGAGCAGGAGCTGGGGGATAGTGGGGGTGGTGAAAGGAAGAAGGGTGGAAGGTTCTAGAAGGACTGTTGGGAGCACTGGCTTTCTTGGACCTAGGAAGAGATTTTTTTTTTAACTTTTTTACTGGACCCGCTCGAGCAAATCGATGAACAACGGGAGGACAGTGACAGTGACAGTGATAACTTTTTTACTGAATCACCGTGAGATGGACCCTTACAAAGCTGTTCGTGATTGGGCTTCAGTCATACAGTGCTCCAGCACCCATTTGGGTGTTGGCATGGACAGTGTCCCACTACCAGTGTGCCCGGCCCCCTGCCCCCTGTCACCCCAGAAAGGGTTCTTGAAGATTCTTCAGAATCTGTGGCCAGATTCACATTTTATTTTGTTATTTTTATTTTTGGGGCTTTTTGGGGTCACATCCAGCGGTGCTTAGGGCTTACTCCTGGCTCTGCACTCAGGAAGTGGTGCTCGGGGGACCCTATGGGATCCCGGGGACCGAACCCAGGTCAGCCACGTGCCAGGTAAACGACTAACCCGCTGTCCTATCGCTCCAGCCCCTAGGTTCACTTTTTTTTTAAAATTTTTGGGTCACACCCGGCGATGCGCAGGGGTTACTCCTGGCTTTGCACTCAGGAATTACCCCTGGCGGTGCTCAGGGGACCATATGGGATGCTGGGAATCGAACCCGGGTCGGCCATGTGCAAGGCAAACGCCCTACCCACTGTGCTATCTCTCCAGCCCCCTAGGTTCACATTTCAGGAAGGAATTCCTCTGTCTTTAGATTGTTCTTCCCTCCTTGGGACACAGCCAGTGGTGCTCAGGGCTGACTCCCAGCTCTGTGCTCAGGGCTCACTCTTGGCTCTGTGCTCAGGGCTCACTCTCGGCTCTGTGCTCAGGGCTGATTCCTGGCTCTGTGCTCAGGGCTCACTCCCCAGTTCTGTGCTCGGGGCTGACTCCTGGCTCTGTGCTCAGGGATCACTCCCGGCTCTGTGCTCATGGCTCACTCCTGGCTCTGTGCTCAAGGCTGACTCTGGGCAGGGCTCAGGGGACCCTCGGCGGTGCAGGGGGATGGAAATGGGGATCCGCCTTGGGCAAGACCAGCGCCTCAAGCCCTGCACGGATCTCTCTGGTTCTTGGTAGCCATCCTCGCAGATGGGAGGGACCGTGTGACCCAGGCAGGCATCCGTAGGTGACAGGTGAAAGAGGGGATGCAGAGAGCTGGGCGGGGTCCAATGTGGGACCAGTGTGGTCTGGGCAGCGC